TTGAACTGCTTGACATGAGTATTATTTCTGTCTGCCTGGATAGAGGCATGTGTACTGGTTCTTCAGTTACCCTTCTGGAAATGGTGCTGGGATGGCTGTCAGGTCATTGCAGGCATCATCCCATGGCAGTTTCAATCCAACAGCACAACAGAAATGCTATTTCAGCATTCCAGAATTTTGTAACAACTCTATGAGCATATTGAAGGTCTTGGCCACTTGTTGGGACTCCTGGGCACACGTTGTTTAGCCCTTCTGGCTTTTTAGGTGGATTTCTCATACTGGTGATGTTTAATGGGTTCTTTAGCTCCTGTTAGGGCGTGATTCTTTGTGATAAGCATGCATCACTGTGTTTCTATCCAAATACAAATGGGAAGCATTCGTTGTACATTTGCCTTTTCTGTGTCGCAGTCCCATTTAAAGCTTCAAGGCATGCAGCTCTAGGGATCAGACACATACCTGCCTCCAAATGTATGTACCATAAAAAGATGTCTGTGCATGCAGAAAACTGCTGCCTTCTCAAAATACCATCCTTAAACCCAACTGCTTTGGTTGTGCCTGGAGAAACAACTTGATCTTTCAGCAGCTCTGAAGCGCAGCAGCTCCATGCTGTGCCAGTAGAAACCTGTGAAAGTCAAGTTTGGTGCCTCTCTGCCTGCTGTGCCCCTGCTCAGAGCAAGCTGTCAAAACCCTTAATGGACTGTCCCAGATCTTTTTGGCAGTGTTCAGATTAGGCTGGACATTAGGAAATACTGTTTTTCTGAAGGAGTGGCCAGGCACTGCAATGGGCTGCCCAGGGAGGTGGTGGAGTCACCGACCCTGGGGGTGTTCAAGGGACGTTTGGATTTTGTGTAGAGGGACGTGATTTAGTGAGAACTATTGGTGATGGGGGGATGGTTGGACTGGATGATCTGGAAGGTCTGTTCCAACCTTGGTGTTTCTGTGATTCTGTGATATCCCTGGCAGCTACTGGAAGAGTAAGCCTGCCCACGAGTGCAGCATTTGTCTCTTTGCAATAGTTGGTGTTTATTCACTGCGATTTGGAAAAGCTAGCAGGATCTGGAGACTCTGTTAAAAGATAGCTTTATAGGGTCTATGGAAAATAGGTGGGAATGGAGCCAGTCCTTACTTGAGTGTATTCCTCAGAATAGGTAGAAACACAAATGGGACCAAGGGTGGCAGAGGAGCACACTGGGACACATATCTGCTTCCTTGGCTTACACTGCGATGCAGACAGAGTCATTAAGGTTGGAAAGGACCTCCAAGGCCCCCATGTCCAACCCCAAGCCATCACACCATGCCCACTGACCACGTCCCCGTGTGCCACATCTCCACTGTTCTTGAACACCTCCAGGGACGGTGACTCCTCTGCTTCCCCGGGCAGCTGTGCCACTGCATCACCACTCTTTTTGAGAAGAAATGTTCCAAATGTCCAACCTGAATTCCCGACGTGAGGCCATCACTTCCTATCCTATCGCTGATGCCTGTGAGCAGAGGCCGATCCCCGTCTCACTCTAACCTCCTTTCAGAGAGCTGCAGAGGGCCGTGAAATCTGCCCTGAGCTTTGTCTGCTCCAGGCTGAACCACCCTCCTCCCCCTGCTGATTCCCATAGCACTGTGCTCCAGAGCCTTCACAGCTCTGCTGCCCTTCTCTGGACATGTTCCAGGGCCTTCATGGCTTCCCTGCAGTGAGGAGCTCAAAACTGAACGCAGCACTCGAGGAGCAGCCTCACTGGGGCTGAGTGCAATCATGATAAACGGATTTTGCCTGGTCTCAAGTGGCAGTTCAGGGAAATACCAACTTCAGGCTGAAGTGACAGCTGTTGCTATTTTGCCTTTCCTCCAGTCCCAGTATCGTGTGTCCATGGAGAAGCTTGCATACGTAGTATGAAACCCTGGATTTGCTGTCATTTAGTGACAATTTGTCATTTCTGCTGCTGTAAGGAATCAGAATCAGATGAGCAGCATGCTTCTATGTGGTGAATATTACAGACCTGTTGTGAACTGTGAGATGAACCGTTGCTGGATGGCTGGTGATGGATCTGAGGTGGTAAGGGCAAAGATGGAAGAAGAGAAAAAGTAGAGAGAAGTCACTGAGAGAGTGATACAGAGATGGGACTCTGCCGGCCCTTGCAGCATGGGCAGCTGCTGCTGTGCTTCCAGCCGATGGATGTCAAAGCTCTGAAGCAGCCCTGTGGCTGTAGGCTGCTGTGGGGAAGGTGCAGCTCAACCTGAGGAGCTGCAGACCAACCTGAGGAGCTGCAGACCAACCTGAGGAGCTGCAGACCAACATGAGGAGCTGCAGACCAACATGAGGCTTCCCCTCAGTCTCCTGTTCTCTGGGCAGAACAGTCCAAGGGACCTCAGCTGCTCCTCACTCCTTTTGCCCTCCAGACCCTTCACCACCTTCGTAGCCCTGGACTGAAAACTAAAGGGCACACGCAGGCTACTGGAGCCAGCTCCTTTTTTGTCAGCTATGTACTCATTTCGTATTATTCTCATAGATTTCAAACAAACGTTCACCAGTTTGGCTTCACAGAATTGCAGGGGTAGGAAAGGACTTCAAGAGATCATGGAATCCGAGCCCCTGCCCAAGCAGTTCCCTACAGCAGATCTCTCAGGTGAGCATCCAGTTGGTATTGAATATCTCCATAGTGGAGACTCCTCCAGCTCTCTGGGCAGCCTGTTCCAGTGCTCTGCCACCGCTGCCATGAAGATGATCTTCTACATGTTAGTATGGAACTTCCTCTGTTCAGATTTTAGGCCACTGTTCCTTGCCCTATAGCAACCACTGAGAAGGGCCCGTTTGCCTCCCAACTCCCTTTAGAAATTTATGAACGCTAATAAATCCCCCCTCAGTCTTCTTTTCCCCAGCTGAACAGCCCCAGGTTACTCGGCCTTTCCTCACACAGGAGATGCTCCAGGCACTTTATCATCTCTGTGCCCCTCTGCTGGGCTCCTTCTAGGAGATCCTTGTCTTTTTGGAATTGGGGAGCCCAGGGCTGGATACAGGGTTCTAAATGTGGCCTCACCAGGGCAGAGCAGAGGGCTGGGATCGCCTCCCTCCACCTGCTGGCCACGCTCTTCTTCTTACATCACTGTTTTTTATGTGAGGGCTCATTTGCTCTGGGAGTTTGAAATCCCCTTTCTAAATACACCCATATCCCGTTTGAGCCCCTGTGGTGTTCTGGCAGTGTCTTTAAACCTGATTACACTTGGTTCCTCCTTGGTGTTCTGGTTTTCCCGTTTACACTGTTAGATGTGAGGCGCAGGGAGGCTCTTCACCCTCAGCCCAGTTGTTTTTTTTCTGGCAGATTTCCCCATGTTTTTAGACTGGTTTCAGTGGCTTTGTGAAATCCCTCCTTCTGTGGTTTATCTTTCAGTTAGTTTCAATGACCAACACACCGTGCAACTGGAAGTGACTTCAACCAGTGACGTTGTATATTCCCTGTTCATTGTCAAAACCACGACAGAAGTAGTGATTTGGAAATAATCATTCGGTCACTGATGGAAACCATCAACTATCTTACTTGAAACATCTCCATCGTGTTACTGCAGCAGTCTGTCGTCCATGTGTGGGAATCCAGTTCTGCACGATTGCAAGAGGTTTTGCATCATTAGCTAGAAGCCTTGAGAGTATTGTCAAAACCTGCTGAGGCTGGAGGAAAGAAGGTGGATGTTTTTAGTTACAACCTAATAAAGGTGTTCACACAAGCAGGGTGTATCTAATCTGTAACTGGTTTTAAAACGTGCTGTCGGTGATGTAGAATGCTATCTGATGACCACCACCTTTTTTGTCTCACCTGAACAAATCCATGTCTTTCAGTATTTGGGTTTAACTCAGCCTCCAGGTCTTGCACAACAGACGTAATGAGGAAATGGCAAAGAACCTCGTTCTAATTCTGCATTTCTTGGGGTTTTGATCTTGGTAGCATGTGAAGACCCCGCAGGATGTTGCTTTTGTCCCTGTGGAAAGTGAAGAAGGGTTTGGAGGAAGAGCATTAAGGAAGGTGTTTCCTGCTTCTTTGCCTGCCATGTTATCTGGCCAATCCAGATGCACCTGATGGTGAAGCTGGACACCTCTGCAGCAGCCTCTCTCCATTCTGGACTTTGTTTCCAGGGAGCTGACATCTGGAGGACAGCAACTTCAGTTCTCTCCAGAAGTCTCTGTACATTTCTGTCTCTTAACCTCACCAACTCCTTGGCCCTGACAGATCCCAGAGTCTCCTGTCTGTCCTATTCCTTTCGCTTTCCCACTGCATGCTCCCTACCTTCCTTCTCATGTCTGGGGCAAGAAGAACAGTTTGTGTTGGTGGCCTGGATGTAGGCAACGTCTGTTAAAGTTTGAGGAGATTTTTGCTGTTGGAGGGGGCTATAATTTGGTGTGTGGAGGTGGGAAATGGGAAGAAGAGACTTCTGGATGGCACAGCCACAGTTCAGACTTGTACATGCAGAGGGGAGGAGAGGAAGGAGCCACTGGACAAAACAGGTGGCTTTTCCAGAGTCACACCTTGATTTCCATCTACACACTAAAGCCAAGTGTCCCTCCAGGGCGTTGTAGGTGTGCCATTCTTGTGCCTGCATGCCTCATTGGAATGGCCCTCAACCTCCCAGCAGCTGTACAGAACGCACCCCAAGGGGAGCTGTGCGGTAGAGCTGGGCTGTGATAGAACACCAGCCCCGTTTCCTTACCCAGTCCTATCCCACTGCTCAGTTTGCTTTATGGTGGACATCTCATTCCAGTGTGTTCATTACAGGCAAACTGACTCTTGGTCTTGAGGTACAGTTCAGGACTCGGCTGTGAAAAATGGTTTAACTATATTGTGGCATCGCTCCCTTTGAGACACGGATACCAAGCTTGCGTAAATACTCGAGCAGAAGCATGCAGATAAAGTCTGTGCTCTCGTGCATGTTCTCTAAGTCGTCATCCTTTGCTCTTCAAGATGTCTGTGGCATTCTCGCTGCCTGTGCTGACGTGTAACTCGTGTCCATTCTGCTTCCAGCTGACACTGACTATCGTGCGGCAGACAGGGGGGCTGGGCATCAGCATCGCAGGGGGCAAGGGCTCCACCCCCTATAAGGGTGATGACGAGGTAAGGCTCTGGGCTGTGTCCTTATGGGAGTGCCTGCTGTCAGGGGCTGCTTCTCTGTAGCTGTGTGTTGGATGTCCACATGTAGGAGCTTTGTGATCGGGGTGGGATTTCGCAGAGCGGTTGGGAGCAGCCCGGTAGCATGCTGTAAAGGACCAACTAAAAGCACTTTCTGGCTTTCTGGGGTCTGCTCGATATGTTTCACCCCTGGGCTGGAGTGCAGAGGCACAGCTTCTCGAGCCTTCGTGCTGCTGCCCACCAGCAGCCATGAGAACAGCAGTTTCTCTCCCACTTGTCTTTGTATACAGGACTCCAAAGGAGAAAAGTGCAGCGTTGGCTTAAGCATTTGTGACTGCATCAGCTGTCCTGTTCTCCCCATACTGGAAAAGGATTCGTGCTTCCCTTTTCCCTTTTGTCACCCGTGGGGTAGCCATGGGATGGAATACCTTTTTCCCTTCATATCATTTCCTGATTGGAGTGATGGGAATGTCTTGTCCCTCCTTCCAGGGTACGGGGCTGGCAAGAGATTTCCCCTTTCCCATAAGGTGGATGAGGTGGAATGTTTTCCTTCCATGCTTTACAGGGTTGAAGAATGGACGCCGTCTCCTTTAACACACTTTTTTTTCCCCCAGGGCATCTTTATTTCCCGTGTCTCAGAGGAGGGACCTGCAGCTCGTGCAGGGGTTCGTGTTGGGGACAAGCTTCTGGAGGTAAGGGCCTGGCTGCTGTGAGTTCATAAATAATTTTAATGAGTGGAGAGGTGTGGGCTGGTGCTTATATCCATTACGCTGGTCTGGAGGCCACATCGAGTATCAGGAGCTGCAAGAAGAAAACAAAATCCTCCTGACTCCAAGCGTAGGTTGTTTGATTAACATTACCCTGAATCTTTTGCTTCTTTGTAAGGACAGAAATCGCTCCTAGGTTCACTCTCCCCAAATGGAGTGTTTCACAAGTGAGGGTAGTGAGGCACTGAGCAGGTTCCCCAGAGGTCTGGTGGATGCCCCATCCCTGCAGACTTTCAAGGCAAGCCTGGACCAGGCTGGACCAACCTGATCGAGCTGTGCGTGTTCATTGCAGGGGAGTTGGACCTGATGACCTTTAAATATTCCTTCCAAATCTAAGGATTCTATAGTTCTATAAATCAGAGAGGGAAAAATGCACATGAGTGCAACCACAAACCCAGCAGGCTGAGCAGCCAGCCTCTATGTGCTGTTCCTTTCTACTTTCTCATGAAGGGTAAAAGCGAACCTTGTAATATAAATCCTAACCTCCAGCCAGCCAAATGCCTATCTCCAGATTATTTGAGCCATGATGAATTGTACAAGATTGGGATCCAATTGAGGAAGGATTGATTGCATTACGCAGGGAATAGATGTCACTACAATGTTGGATAGAGACCAGGAGAATAAGTGGTCTGTATTTGGAGCACTGTGCTGTTTGTGGGAGCTGATGTGGTGTCTTATGCCCTTCTACTGCTGCAGTGTATATCTGGGCAGGGGAGATCTGGCATTTATGTGACTACACGTTCCTTCTTTTTCACCACTCAACCTGGCACAGACTGTAGTAGAAGTCTAGTCTGATTTCTTCTATGTTCCAGGGCTTTAAAAGCCACCTTGCATCTTTGTGCTGCATGCGCTGAGTTGCATTTTGCTGCAGAAAAAGGAGAGTCAGCTCTTGAGGATTTTGAGAGATGAATGAATGTTCCTTTTTTCAACAATCAAATTTTTGGCACCATGTGATTTCATGGAAGATAGATAACTTTCCAGTTAAAGATTTGGGAAAAGATCCTTTGTCAGTTCTAGTTTACCTTCCATGGTGTCCATTCGTCTGTGCCTCCTGTAAAATCAGAGGTACTCTCTCAACATTACTCTTATTCTTTCTAAAATAAGGTTACATCTGCGTGCGAGTCACTTGCAGCAGTTCTGTTCTCATTGGGATTGAGTGGGATGGAGTATCTCTTCCACTCTAGAATAAGGATAGTGTTGCTCACTAATAAAGGCCGTGATGGGATAAAGGATCTTAAATGCCCTGAAGTAGGAGAGATTAGATTTGAATTAGATTTGGGACCGTAGAATCGTAGAAAATCCTGAGTTGAAGGGATCTGTAAGGATTGTTGAGTCCAATTCCTTCAAGTCCTGTATTCAAGGCACTGATGAGGAGTTCAAAGAGAATGGGCCCCAAGACAGAGCCCTGCAGAACCCCACCAGCCTGATGGAACTCCACTGACCACCCCTCTTTGGGCCCAACTCATCGGTCGGTTGCTCACCCACTGTATTAGGATTTAGGCAGCACATGCACGAGGGAAGCTTCCTTGAAGGGCAGCAGGTGACGTCTGTCCCAGGGGGGACAGAGTGACAGCACGGAGCTTTGTAGGGAATCACAGATTCGTAGGATGGTCATGAGTCTGGGGTGCATTAAAAAGAGCGTGGCCAGCAGGTCGAGGCGATGCTCCCCCTCTGCTCTGCCCTGCTGAGGCCTCACCTGGAGCACGGCGTCCAGTTCTGGGCTGCCCAGCACCAAACAGACAGGGATCTCTTGGGAAGAGTCCAGCGGAGGGCCAAAAGATGGTGAGGGGCCTGGAGCATCTCTGCTATGGAGAAAGGCTGAGTGAGCTGGGGCTGTTCAGCATGGAGGAAAGAAGGCTGAGAGGGGAGCTGATCCAGGTCTGTGAATATCTGAGGTGTGGGGGGCAGCATGGCGAGGCCGGACTCTGTTCAGTGGGGAGTGGAGGCAGGACGAGGGAAAACGGCTGGAAACTGCAGCATAGGAAGTTGTGCACAAACATGCGCAAGAACTTCTTTACAGTGAGGTGACGGAGCACTGGAACAGGCTGCAGGGAGGTGGTGGAGTCTCCTGCTCTGCAGATGTTCCAGACCTGCCTGGATGCCGACCTGTGCGACCTGCTGTATGGAACCTGCTTTGGCAGGGGGTTGGACTCGATGATCTCTGGAGGTCCCTTCCAACCCCTACAGTTCTGTGATTCTGTGATTCTGTGAGTTGGAAGGGACCTTTAAAGGCCATCTGGTTCAACTCCACTGCAGAAAACAGGGGCACCCACAGCTAGATCAGAGCACTCAGAGCCTGCTGCAGTGTGATGATGAACTGTGCTTGTGCTGGGGAGCAGCAGCGAAGGCCGGAGCAGTCCGTGCATGCTGGTGGAAGCAGTGCAGGAAGAAGGGCAGGGTTGTGCCTGGCTCTCTCCATCCCCAGGTGAACGGAGTGTCCCTGCACTGCGCGGAGCACCACGTGGCGGTGGAAGCGCTGCGTGGCTCGGGGAGCTCCGTGTCCATGACGGTCCTGAGGGAGCGGATGGTGGAACCGGAGAACGCCATCACCGTCACCCCGCTGCGCCCTGAGGACGACTACAGCCCTCGAGAGAGGAGGGGTGGCCTCCGCTTCCCTGAGCGACCCGAGGGAGCACCTCCAACGGAGAGATACTCCACCTGCTTGATGCGCAACGAGAAGGGTCTGGGCTTCAGCATCGCTGGTGGCAAAGGCTCCACGCCGTACCGGGCTGGTGACACGGTCAGTGACAGCTCTTTGGGAGGAAAGGGGCTCCAATCTCTGCATTTTGGCACTGCTTGAGCGGGCAGCACGGGGTCTTTTCGTCACTGCAGGCAAGAGGCAGCAAGGCATGGCCCGGGGGCTGTCCTGCAGTGCTGAGAGAGACAGAATCTGCTCTTAACTCAGGGAAAGGGAGAAGTTCAGAAGGAGGTGGGGCAGAGGCTTGCAATCCCTGCCAGTGACATTTAATCCTGCTGCTGTCCTCTTGACATGTGTTCTGGGCTCTTGGCCACATGAAGGCTTTCCTGCAGGTGGCTCCGGAAGCAGAACGGGGTTTGCTGGAGTGAGGAAGAAGGGAAAATGCCAGGAGGGGGTTCTGCAGAGGGAGTGGGCTGAGACCCGCCTGGTGTCGGGGAGCAAAGCCTTGGGGAGGCACGGAGTCTCTGACCCTTCTGATTGCATTTCAGGGGATTTTCATCTCACGGATTGCAGAGGGAGGTGCAGCCCATCGGGACGGGATCCTGCACGTAGGAGACCGGGTCATCTCGGTGAGTGTGGGTGGCTGGGGAACAGCAGGAGGGAATGGGAAGGAGCTGACTCTGCCCTTGGGGCAGCAGGCACAAGTACAGTTCCCTGCCCTGCCTCAGCTGTTCTCCTATCTTTAATACTAGATTTTGGAGCCCTTTTTTTAAGCTCCTCAAAGGCAAGGGATGTGAAGGGGCAGCGCTGCTCCCTGCGGAGAGCAGGGCAGCAGTTGTCAGCGCTGCCTGAAGGAGAGGGAGGGCAACATGGAGCCGGGCAGGGCACATGGAGTGTTTCCCCTGCTTTCATTTCAACCTCTGGCCCCAACTCCCCTCCTGTTTGTGCTGTGATACAGATCTCACTGCTGCCTCTAACCTCAGTCTTTCTGCCTAATGTGTCACTGGCTCCCCTGCTGTGGGGAGAGCCTGCTGAGCCTCCTGACCTTCCTCCCGAGCTCGCATGCTGCCTCCAGGTGAAAGCTCCTGCCTCTTGGTGCTGGTGGTGGGTTTCTGATCCAGCTGCTGTGGTAAGAGCACGTGTTACCACAGAGCTGGCGTGGGTAAACACTGATACAGCCTCGTCAGTGCTGGCTTCTGTCTGCTCTATCCCTAGGCTGGGGGCTGCGTTGTATTTGCTCTGGCACAAAGCTGTAGTGGAGCTTTGACCTAGGTCTGGCAGTCGTATCCTGCCAGGAGACCTGAACTGCTACAACATTTCTCCTTGTCTTCAAGTGCTCCTCTCTCCTCCCACAACCCACCTTGATTGTTGTCAGTCAGAACTGTGGAGTCATGGAATGGTTTGGGTTGGAAGGGACATGACGACCACCCAGTTCCAACGCCTGTGCTGTGGGCAGGGATACAAGCCATCCAGCCTGGCCTTGAACGCATCTAACATTCTCTGGACAACCTGCTCCAGTGCCTCACCACCCACATAGTGAAGAATTTCCTATTGTCTAATCTAAATCTCCCTTTTTTAATTCCAAGCCATTACCCCTCGTCCTGCTATTACCCTTCCTGGTGAAGATTCCCTCCCCATAGCCCAAATTATTTTCGTTTTGCTCTTCTTTCGATGCTCCACTGACATGGAAGCATGACTGAGAGGCATGATTGCATGGTGTTTGTTGGCTTTGCCTGTGGCAAGAAGGAATCGTGATATTTCAGAGTGGAGTCAGAAGTCAAACCCTGTTGCATCTTTATGGTCACGTCTATGGGCATTTTCATTCACATCAAACAGTTCGTATAACATCTGCACCTTCCAGCAAGTGACTGCAGCAGCCCCAGCAGGCATTCCTCCTGGTGGCAGCTGCTCTTCTGCCTTTCCTTCCTGTGGGGTGCGCTGCTAAATGTGAGATCTCACATCCTGAGACCTCATCTCTCTTTGGTGATATTTGTTCCTTGAGAGTTTCTGCTCATTCTAAGAAATGCATGAGCAGCCCTGTGAATTTTACCCCATCTCTGGACAAATCTGCAGCAAGGTCAGGCCCATGGAGCTGCCCTGGATGCTGAGAATAGCTGTTCACCTCAACACCATGTCTGTGTGACAGAAGTCCCTATTTGCCACAACTTTTCTGAAGCAGTGATTGCCCTTTTTTTTTAGTTTTTTTGTTTGTTTGTTTTGGTTTGGTTTTTGGAAGACTTTTCAGGACATGGTGATTAACCAGATGTGTTCTGCAGGCTGCTTGTGTTTCTCTATCGGGAGAGCAGGAGGGCTCTGGTTGGGAAGCAGTCTGTAGATCCAGCAGGCAGAAGCCTGCCACCAAAGTCATGGTCTCGTGGTCATGCCTCTGTTTCACTTTGCTGAAAGTGAACTTCTTGTTTTCTTGAGGAAAGAAATACAACAGAGCTTCATGGTCTTCCCCTGTGCTCTGTACCATCCTGGATTTCTCTGCAGAGAAGGGCCAGGAAAACTCCCTTTGTTTTCTTCAGGAGCTTTTTGTAAAAGAACTGAAGAGCCCAGCCTAGATCTGTCTTCAAAGTTAACGCTCCACAAAGCTCACCAGTGACTGATCACTAACTCTCCAGCCTTCTCCGTGTTCTGATGTCTCTTATGAGTCAGAACCTGACACAGTTTTGTGATGGACATCTTGAGAGTCACCTCGGTGGTGGAAGACATGGGGCAGGGAGGTAACGGAGACTTTGAACATATTTTGAGATCATAGAATCATCAGGGTTGGAAAAGACCACGAAGATCATCCAAGTCCAACCGTCAGATCTAGCAGGGAGGTTCAGGACTGGGAGCAGTGGCCAAGGGCAGCTAGTTTTTGGGGATAGGTCTGGAATTAAACAAAGAGCCCTTAGCTGGGGGAGGCTGAGGGCAGTAGAATCATAGAATCATAGAATCATAGAATCACCAAGGTTGGAAAAGACCTAAAAGATCACCCAGTCCAACCGTTCACCTATTCCCAATAGCTCCTACTAAACCATGTCCCTCAACACAACATCCAGTCTTTCCTTGAACACCCCCAGGCTCGGTGATTCCACCACCTCCCTGGGCAGTCCGTTCCAGTGCCTGACCACCCTTTCTGAAAAGTAATACTTCCTAATGTCCAGCCTGAATCTCCCCTGCCGTAGCTTGAAGCCATTCCCCCTGGTCCTATCACTGATGACACGAGAGAAGAGGCCGACCCCCAGCTCACTACAACCTCCCTTCAGGAAGTTATAGAGAGCAATGAGGTCTCCCCTGAGCCTCCTCTTCTCCAGACTGAACATTCCCAGCTCCTTCAGACTCTCCTCATAAGCCCTGTGTTCCAGACCCCTCACCAGCTTTGTTGCCCTCCTTTGAACACGTTCCAGGGCCTCAATATCTTTCTTGCAGTGAGGGGCCCAAAACTGGACACAGTACTCGAGGTGCGGCCTCACCAGTGCTGAATACAAGGGAACAATCACCTCTCTGCTCCTGCTTGCAACACTGTTTCTGATGCAAGCCAGGATGCCATTGGCCTTCTTGGCCACCTGGGCACACTGTCGGCTCATATTCAGCCGAGCATCAATCAATACCCCCAGGTCCATTTCCTCTACGCAGTCCTCCAGCCACACCGCCCCAAGCCTGTAGCGTCGCCTGGGGTTGTTGTGGCCGAAGTGCAGGACCCGGCATTTGGCCTTGTTGAAACTCATCCCATTGGCTTCAGCCCAGCTCTCCAGCCTGTCCAGATCCCTCTGTAGGGCCTCGCTACCCCCAGGCAGATCCACACTTCCAGCCAATTTGGTGTCATCTGCAAACTTACTGAGGGTGCACTCGATGCCCTCATCGAGGTCATCAATAAAGATATTGAAGAGGACAGGCCCCAGCACCGACCCCTGGGGAACACCACTCACAACTGGTCGCCAGCTGGATTTGACTCCATTTACCACCACTCTCTGTGCCCGGCCCTCCAACCAGCTCCTTACCCAGCCAAGAGTGTATCCATCCAAGCCTCTGGATGCCAGCTTCTGCAGGAGAATGCTGTGGGAGACAGTGTCAAAGGCTTTGCTGAAGTCTAGGTAGACCACATCAACAGCCTTTCCCTCATCCACCAGATGGGTCACTAGATCATAGAAGGAGATCAGGTTGGTCAAGCAGGACCTGCCCTTCATGAACCCATGCTGGCTAGGCCTGATCCCCCGGTCACCCCGCACATGCCACATGATCTCCCTCAAGACGATCTGCTCCATAACCTTCCCTGGCACCGAGGTCAGGCTAACAGGCCTGTAGTTCCCCGGATCCTCCTTACAACCTTTCTTATAAATGGGAGTCACGTTGGCAAGCCTCCAGTCATCTGGGACCTCACCAGTCAACAAGGAGCGTTGACAGATGATGGAAAGCGGCTCGGCTATCACCTCCGCCAGTTCCCTCAGCACTCTCGGGTGGATCTCATCTGGCCCCATCGACTTGTGGCAGTCCAGTTGGAGCAGTAGGTCTCTGACTGTTTCCTCCAGAATCACAGGGGGGTTAGTGTGCTCCCCAGCCGAGATTACCAGGTCAGAGAGAGTAGTGGCACCAGATGGTGCGTGAGAAGCCTAATGAGCAATTGATGCTGAAAATTCTGCCAAGGGCTGTTAGATGGGAGGTGCTATGAGTGAGGGACATCTTGTGTCCTCATCCGTTGGCATCCGGGGGAATACCACTGTATGCCTGTGGTCCATTAGAAAAGAAAAAAAAAGGCCTTAGAATATCCCCAGTTGGGATGTTATCCATGAGGATCACAGAGAACCTCCCAAAAATCAGGCCATGATGTTACCTGATGAGCAGTTTGTTTAATGATCCATCTGTGAGCGCCCCGAGTCTCGTCTCTTATCTGCTCTTCATTAGGTTTGTGTATCTGCATGTTGTTTGTCTTTCCTGCTTATTGCCTTGGTCTTCTGTGCTGACGAGCCTCTACCTGGGTGCTTCCTTCCTGGAGCCCCTTCCTGTGTGTGATAACGTGCAGGCTGACATCTTCACCTCCTTGTTGGTCCTCAGTGGTTGGTGCCAAAGGTGGACTTTGGGGACAGATGTCTCAGCGTAAGAGCAAAGGCTGCAGGGCTGAGAGTTTCCCATCTGCGTCACAACTGGGAGCTGCCTCACCTGGCTGTGTGGGGGGCTGTCAGGAGATGGGCAGCATTGCTGGGAGAGTGACAAAATCCCTGCTGTGGTTTGAACCCCCATTGCATTGGCAGAGGAGCACAGCTGGCTTGGATGGGACGGGCAGGTGGGCTGAGTAGTGGTCGTGTTGGTGGAGTTTCTGGACAGAGCTCTTAGACAGCTCTTCAGAGCCTCTTCAACCAACTTTGCCCAGAAACTGTTAGTAGTTATAATAATTCTGGGGGTTAGATAGTGAGGAATCAGGCTACACAATCCAGCTGCTGTGACTGTTGTGTGATTGTTTGTTGAGCAGCCGCTGTGTTCACGTCTTTGTTGTTCATTTTGGAAAGTGTTTTCAGAATTTAAGAACCTTTTAATTTGTCAAATTATTGTTTCCGTGGCACATTTGGTCCCTTTGGCAGTGTTCTAGCTTAGCTCTCCTCTCAATTTAATGTCCCTTGTATTCTCATGGCGAATAGTCACATTCTTCCTGGTCTCTTCTAGTCAGGCTGCTTTATATCTTCTTTCTGTAGGCAGCGCTGTTCCTCTGCTTGTCCTGCAAGCTTTTCTTCGTGCATTTTGTTCATGTTGTTAACTTGTATTAGATGTTCTTACTTCTTTAGTGTGAAGATTGACAATAGTGCACAGTTCTATAGTTGAAGTCTTTCCATTGCTCTGCAAATGACATTGCTGCTTCCCTCTGCATTGCAGGTGCCTCTTTGTCCAAAGCATTTCTGTCTTTCACTGATACCGTTGCAAGGCTGGAGAGTGTATTGCAGTATGCTTTCTTGTCAAAAAGAATTCTGCTTTTCCTTTTGTCCGCCAGACATTTGCTACTGACTGATTGAATCTCATTCTCAGTGCTTCCAGATGATTTTGTACCTGTGCTACACTTTCTGTGACTTAAAACTGGGGCCATCCTCCCATCATTGTGCCACCATGTTGCCCAGTGCGGGCAGACAGCAGCCCAGTAGCTCACAGCAGGTCCCACTGCACATCAGATTGTGCCCTTCAGCTCTTCATCGCCTCTGTCCAAGCTTGGAGAGTGATTGATATGGGCAAATGCCCGAGTACAGAGGCAGCTGGTGGCATGGTGCATTGGTGTGCCGTGACATCACTTCTGGGAATCGCTGCTTTGCCTTCTTCCCTTGTTAAGGTCGCTGGACCCGTTCCTCTAATGCGACCATTTGGGCTTTTTTTCCTTTGACCCAGTAGGCAAGCTGGAGCACAAAGCCAAAAAGGAGTGGAAGGGATTCTCTTGGTCATGAATATGCAAACAGTCTTAGCAATAGCTAAAGTGGCAATAGCTAGCTTTGTGGCATCCGGGAAGTGGTGCATCACCATTGATCTTTGGCATTTTCTGGAGCATCGCTGGTGCTGCTAGAGCTTGGAAGTGTGCAGGGAAGGTGAGAGGGGTCGGTGAGCTGTCTGCAGAGAGGATTGTGCTCAGCCAGGAATGGGAAGTTGCCCGGGTCCCTTTGCAAGGCAGGAAGGAGTGTTCTGAGCCACACCGCGCTTTGTGAAGCGGACGTTGAGAGGGGCAGGGCGTCAGCGTGGGTCTCAGGGTGTGTGTTTGTGCTCAGGTGACGGTCTGACGCTGAGTTTGCGGGTTGTTCTAGATCAATGGGGTAGACATGACAGAAGCCAGGCATGATCAGGCCGTAGCGCTGCTTACCGCATCCTCCCCCACCATCGTCCTGCTGGTAGAGAGAGAGGCTGCAGAGCAGCCCGGCGAGGGAGACGCGCCTGGCGCGCCGTGGGTGCGCATGCACTCCCCACCGCCACCCCCCAGCCATGGGGAGAGCCCAGCAGAGGAGATGCCTTCGCTGCAGAGGAGCCAGCTCTCTAAAGGCCTGGAGGATCAGTATCCCATCGAGGTGAGCCACCGGAATAAGGGATGGTGTTGGGTAATAGGTGTGTGGTGTTGAGCGCCCTTGGTTCGAAAATGTGGTCGCGTGATGAGGGCTGGGTGGGTTGCTGGGGTATGGAGAAGCAACGGGGGGCCCTCTTGTCCTGTGGGACCTTGTCTTGTGCTCACTCACACAGAGCATCCCTGATTCATAAGGTGACGTTCTCCGCTCTCCGTGACTCTGCTTCTTGTTCCTTCCAGGAAATTCACCTCGTAAAAGCAGGTGGTCCTCTGGGGCTCAGCATCGTGGGAGGCAGCGACCATTCGAGCCACCCGTTTGGGATTCATGAACCAGGGGTTTTCATTTCAAAGGTAATCCCGGCAGTGAACATTCCTGAGCTGTTTTCACTATTGGGGTTAAGACGGAGGATTTTGATGCAAGAGTCTGAAAAGTGTAATAAGGATTAAAAAAAAATGAATGGGATGAGGAGGAGAAATGTGTGCATATGTAAAGAGTTGATTTCTATTAAATGTATCTCTGCTGTTTTAGAAATCTGAATGATTTAATAATAACCTGCTGAGTTCTTTCCTGCTGCACTGTTTGGGGAGAGTAAGCTTTTGAAATTGCTGAAGCTTCTGTTTTAGTGAATGCTGGAAAGATGCAGGCATTCCAGGAAATTGGCCCGTTACTCAAAAGGTGTCAGGGATGGATATGTAGCTGTAAGGAAAAACAGAAGATTCTCCTGCATCCAGGCCAGTGTCCTTCAACTTCCCACTCTCTGTGCCGTGGTAACACTGGCAGATCTTATTCAGGATCAGTGCACAAGCCTCTCGCTTACTGCAGCCCTTCTCCGTGAAAGCCAGCCACACTCGTTAGATGAGAGATGCTGGGGAGATACCCCTGCCCAGTCCTCTCTGCATCCATGCATCCCTCTTCCCTTGGAGGTGCTGATCCTGTCTCCTGCATGCCTGCAAGTCCCAGAACATCTTTACCTATCAGTGAGGAGGCACACTCGGATCTGCTCTTAGCCCATGTCTCAGTGGTTTCTCTGAGTGTCCCATTCTTACGCTGCTGATTTGGTGATCAGGAGTCCTGTATTTGGGCTGTTCACCACCTTCATATTCCTTCTTCAGCTTTCTGCCCAAAATCAAGAGCTGTGGCTTTTGTTCCTCCTTGCAAGGTCCTGCTTCATGCTCTTGTTTTTTTCAGTTGCCTGTCTCTGAACCTTCTCTGCCTCCACTGTGGCCTTCTTAAAATGTGGGATAAGAGGATCATTTGAGTTGTAGGGAACCTGTAAGGAACCATTTGATCTCAGAACCAGCTCAGAGGAGCTCGCTGAAGTCCTTGTCAGGTTCTGAGTGCCACAACAATGGAGATGCTGCATTCTCTCTGGGCATCTGTTCCAATGTTCAGCCTCCATTACAAAGAATGTTTTATTCCTAACACTTAGTTTCCTTTGTTCCATCTCTTTTCCCTTGCCTCTCTCCCTTTGGACAGTCACGAACCCCAGAACCACAGGGGTTGGAAGGGAAGCTCACCCAGTCCAACCACCCCCTCTAGAAGTTCCCCAGAGCAGCTTGCACAGGAAGGCATCCCAGATGGGTTTGCCAGTGTCTTTCTTACACCCCAGATGCAAGTGCTGGTTAGTAGGGAATCACCACTGCTCTCAACTCACAGTTTACTCCCTTCTAGTCCAGCCCAGTGTGTACCCTCTGCTATTGCAACGATAACATATATACTGCTGACTTAGCTTAGCTCTCTGCAAGGACGTGTTGATGTCCTGTTTGTTTTCCCTGACACCGTGCAGTGCATTCTTCTCCTTTTGTAGCTTCTTCACCTGGTAGCTCAGCACCGTGTCAGAGGCCTTACTGAATTACAGACAGATGGAATACAGCCATCTTCCCGTGTCCACTGGCAGTGAAGCCATCACAGAAGGCCACCAGGTTGGTCAGGCAGGACCTGCCTTTGGTGAAGCCACACTCGTTGTCCCGTATCACCTTTCTCTCTCAGAAAACTGACAGAGGAATTAGATTCAAATAATAATATGAGAAATAAGAAAGCACTCAATGGCATTTTAGAGCAAATCTTACTTTGTTCGTTGTTTTTTATGGATGAAGTAGCTTGGTATTTGTTGTGATCTTTCTGGTGATAGCATAGCAGTACTGCACAGTTTCTCTTTTGCTCCCTGTCCTACAGAGGATGGGGGGAAGAAAGTGAGATGGAAAAGAACTTGCAAGTTTTTGAGATAGAAGCAGTTTAATGAAGGAAAAGCAATAGCTGTGCACACAAGCAAAAGGAAAAAAAATACTCTCTACTTCCCATCAGCAAGCAATCTGCTGGGAAGCCAGGCCTCAGCACACACACACTGATTGCTGCAGAAAGTCAGGACCTTGTAATTACGGTGCAGAACGTCCTAAACAGGCTGAAAACGGGGTGACAGTTTTCAAGCAGTAGCCATCAGAGCCATCAGTGGAGTGTCAGTGAGTTGGAAGGGTGTCCAGGCAGATTGTACAAGGATTTGTACCAGACCTGACACTGCTCAGCTTCAGCAACGTTGTGGAAGCAAATCCGAAATTGCAACCAAGAAACGATATGTGGAAATATTAGAATTGTAATTTATAATGAGTAGAAAACAGCCATGTTGATCACTTTTTCCTCTTCAAAGAAATACACGTCAGGGTAACTGAGAGTGATGTTTTGCATCTAGAAATAAACAGTGTAGACCGGTTCCCCTTCTGCAGTGTTTCTTCTAAATTCTTCTAGAAAGCAGTGGCTTTGAAAATTGTTGAAGCATCACAGTGAATGAACTGCAGTGTTCAGTCACTCAGATAATGAACAGTCATCCAGGCGACGAGCAGTTCTCCAAGCAATGCTTGGACATGTAATAAGGGACGATGAGGGTGGAATTTTCCTGTTTGTGGAGGCTCACTGAATGTCATCAACCCATCAGTGCACTGAGCTGCTTCTTCACAGATGAATTTATTACCTCTCGGGGAGCTTCAGTTGCAGAGAGAAGGTCAGAATGGCCTCGGAGGATGTTGGACGATTGCCTTCAGACGCCGTAAAAATTGGCCCTTGAGCTCCCTGCCGCCGAAGCTGTAACACTCACTCACTTGCTGTTGATCACAGGAGCAGCCGCAGGCTTTGTCAGCCCCTCTCCAAGGGCAGATTTCCTTCTCTGGTTGTAACACGAACTGTTTTCTGCAGGTCATTCCCCGCGGGCTGGCGTCTCGCAGTGGGCTGCGGGTAGGGGACAGGATCCTGGAGGTGAACAGCATTGACCTGCGCCATGCCACGCACCAGGAGGCCGTGAACGCTCTGCTCTCCAACACCCAGGAGCTGAGCGTGGTAGTAAGGCGAGATCCACCACCGCCTGGCATGCAGGTGGGTTCTGAGCAGGGATTGCACTTCCTTCTTCACAGATAGCTCAGCTCTCAAGGTGGTTTCTTACCTAGCTGGGGGTCTGAGTCTGTAGGGCAACTGAACTTCTATCTGAACTTTCTGGATGCTGAGGAAGGCCGTGAAGATGGTCGGAGAGCTGGAGCACCTCTCCTGTGAAGAGAGGCTGAGAGTTGGGGTTGTTCAGTCTGGGGAGGAGAAGGCTCTGGGAAGACCTCATTGCAGACATCCTCAACCTAAAAGGGGCCTAGAGGAAAACGGAGAGGGACTCTATCATGGATGATAGTGATAAGACATGGGGTGATGACTTTAAAGCAAAAGAGGGGAGACTTGATTACATATGGAGTTCTTTCCTCAGAGAGCGCTGAGGCCACAGGCTGCCCAGAGAAGCTTGGGTGGGTGCCCCATTCCTGGAGCCGTTTAAGACCAGGTTGGGTGGGATTCTGGGCAGCCTGACGTAGGGGAAGGTGTCCCTGCCCACAGCGAGGGGGATTGGATGATCTTTAAGGTCTGTTCCAACCCAAACTATTCTGCAGTTGTCTTGTGGTGGAATCACAGAATCACGGGGGTTGGAAGGGATCTCAAGAGGTCATCAAGTCCAACCCCCTGCTAAAATAGGTCACAGAATCTACTGTCCTGTGAGTTCATATCCAATTGAGGACTGTAGGGAGCCTCTTGCTGTACCAGTGGTGATACTGTGATCAGAACTGATTGTTCTCATGTTTCATGAATAGAGGTAGAAAGTAAAAATACAAAGCCATATAAAGAAGAGAATCAACTGCCAAATGTGTGAAACGTCCAAGTCAGGTCACTTTCAGGATTTTTAGAATATGCCCATCCCCTAAAAGCTTTTCCTATACAATTCCAGTCTGATCTAAAGCCAGAAACAAGGAGATCTTTCTGTATTTTCAGGAAATATGCATTGAAAAGGCTCCAGGAGAAAAGCTGGGCATCAGCATCCGGGGTGGAGCAAAAGGTCATGCTGGAAATCCATTTGATCCTACTGACGAAGGCATCTTCATTTCTAAGGTACCAGCCCACAAATTCTGCCCCTTGGTGATGTGCATGTCCTGCTAGAAGGAAAAATGATCCCTAAGAGAATTTGTTGTGTTTGGTGCTCTCTCCATTTTTTCACTGGCTACGCTGATTCTCTTTTAGTTTTCTCCATCCGCTGAAGCACGTGAACGTGTTTCATTTCATGTTTCCTCCTTTACAACAGCTGTAACATTTCTTCTTTCATTTCCTTTGTTTGCCTTGTTTTGTTTTTGCTATGCGAGTTTTGGTCCTTTTTCCATTACACAAACCTATGCTTTTTCCTTCTTCCCCTCAGTTCCTGTTGCTACCCCACTTGCTTGTGGCTTACCTGCCCAGTCAGAGGTGCATTTGCCTTTGTCACTGAACGCAGTATGAGTTCCTTGCTGTGCCTGCTGTGCCATGCACCGTGTTCCCTTTCCTTTGTATGCATACTGATTTGTCATGTCACTTTTCCCCAGGCAGGAACACACACTTTCCAATGCAGTGCTGTGTATAAGCTAATGCTTTTCTGACCCTTATCAAAAAGTATTGCAACTTCTTTGCTATCAATAAAGAGAGCATAGTGGTGAACAGTGCAGTTTCACCTCCCTTGCTTGCTTTGAATGTTCGTATTGATATCACTGTTTCCTTCTCTAGCTGCTATGCTAAGAGCAGAAACACTGTCCTTGCTCTAAAGAGTCTTAATCCTTGTTGCATGGTGGACTCTTCATATCCACCAGTTAATCCCTTACAGTAACGAGCCCAGGGAGGAGGTGGAGTCACCGACGCTGGGGGTGTTCAGGAACTGTGGAGATGTGGCACTCAGGAGCTTGTTTTAGTGGGCATGGTGGGGTGGGTTGGGGTTTGGACGTGGTGGTCGTAGTGATCCTTTCCAGCTTGAGTGATTCTGTGCTTCTGTAGTGGCACACTGCAGAGGAAAGGCAAGATCTTTAGGGATCCTTGGCGGTCTGAGGGCTGACCACGGGGTTGTGGTTGTAATTGGAGATTTGCTACGAATTAAACAAGGATTTAACAGCCAGCATAACTAGTTACCACCTTTTCTAGCACTTAGTGTGGCTTATAGTTGCACAGCATCATTAGAAGTCTCAGTTACACGGGCTCGTCTGTCATCTGGGTGGACCCTGTGTAGATCAGGACATATTCCTATCAGTCGTGCGATACAGTCATCACCTAGACTCAGATTTTAGGTAAAACCACACAAGAGGCACAACTCAGGACTCAGGAAGACTGTGCTGATGCATCCCAGGCCACGGGGAATCCAGCAACAGTTCTGTTCTGAGTCCCACTGAGGGTTTAATGCTGCTAGATTTTATAGGCAGTGCTCCCAGCGCTGTTACATTTCCCTATTCCAGGACATGGATGTCAGCACTGGTGAGACTATACCTCGAGTGCTGTGTTCAGTTTTGGGCCTCTCAATACAAGAAGGACATCGAGGAGTGTGGCCAGAGAAGGGCAATGGAGCTGTGAGGGGTCTGGAGCACAGTGCTATGGGGACCAATGGAATGGGACGGTTCAGTCTGGAAGAGAGAAGACTTGGGGAGACCTCACTGTTCTCTCCAGCTCCTGAAAGGAGGTTGGAGCGAGGTGCAGGTTGGCTTTTGCTCCCAGGAAACAGCAATGGGATGAGAGGCGATGGCCTCACGTTGCACCAGGTGGGGTTGAGGTTGGATATTAGGGCCAATTTCTTCTCTGAAGGAGTAGAAATTTCACTCTGAAGGAGTAGAAATTTCACTCTGAAGGAGTGGTGATGCAGTGGCACATCTGCACAGGGCAGTGGGGCAGTCACCATCCCCAGAGGTGTTCAAGAACCGTGGAGATGTGGCGCTGAGGGATGTGGCTTAATGGGCATCGTGGGGTGGCTTGGGGTCAGACGTGGTGATCTTCGAGGTCTGTTTCAGCATGAATGATTCTGTGATCTCCTGACAGCCAGCCTGCAGGAATTGATGCTGCTGAGGGGTTTAACCCACCTGTCAGTGCTGTCGGTGGCTGCTCTCCATCCCCTCGTAGTGACCCAGCCCTTGGGTCCTGGGAGCATCTCTGCCCCTTGGCATCCTGACAGTAGGGGTCCCCACAGCCTGGGCAGAGAGGGGGTGAGGGGAGGAGGCAGGGCTGTGTGTTAGCAGCCACTTAGGTGCTGTGGATGCTGACTTTATCGTCGGTTGTGCTGCCAGGGGAAAGGAGCAGAGGGCACTGATCACAGCTGCCTTGACTGTGTCATTTCAGCTTCACTCTCAGCTCCCCAACCCAGTGTGCTTTTCCTGCTTGGCTTATTCTGCCTCTCTATCTCTGCTAGCTGAGAGATGGAGCGTTGTTTTTCTTCTCTTTCCTCTTTTTCGGCTGCCTGATTACAGCATTCTTTCTTCTCAGTCTCCCTTAATTGTTGTTTTTGTTGAGTCTCTTCATTATCATACATTTTTTTAACCTGTAAACTGGCTCTTCTTTGTTAAAACCTTACTGCTGAAGTGTTACGAGTTGAATACAATCAGAAGCCTTAAACATATCCACAGTTTGAAGCTCATTGTCTGTTGCAATGGGAATAGCATAGTCTGCCCTGGTGAGATAAGAGTAATACAGATGACTGTTAGCATTATGGGCATACTTTTCCATGTGCTCCTCTTCCTCCCATTATTTCGGCGTGTTTTACTGCCATGCTGGTGCATTTGCTCTCCCTGGGAAAGAAAATGGGAGAGTTTGGTCGTGTTCCATTTAGCTTCATGTGTCACCTTCTATACTTGCACGTTCCATTCATGCATTTTCCTGTTTTCCTCCCTGTAGGAAATTGTATGCATGCATAGAATCACAGAATCATAGAATCCTATCATCATGAATGCATGCCTATTTTCCCTCCCGAAAACCTACAAAAAGATCACGTGCAGCATTCCCTTCTCTTTTTCCAAGTACTTTTATAAAAGAATGAACCAAATAGGTACTCTACCTTGGCTGGTTGGTTTTTCTTCCCCCCTCCTCCCCCCATCACTGAGTTCTCTGCATTGTCTTTGTCTTAGAATAGAATCATTAAGGCTGGAAAGGACCTCAAAGATCTTCTCATGCTCTCTGTGCCTCCCTGCTGCTCTGACAACCAGCCCTGCACGCCCTTGCATTTCCCCCACCCCTCTGGTGCCCCTCTGCTCTCCTTATCCTCTTGGCATAAATCTGCAGGCTGTGCAGAAGATCCCCCGCGTTTCCATGCTCTTTTTGCAAAGCCTTTATGTAGCGCTGCTCGTAATTCATGTTGGTTCTTTGGTTTGAGTCTGGGCAGTTGAATTAAAGCCATTATTTGACTCGTGTTCCCAGCGACATCTGCTTGTACAGCCAGTGTACCAAGACCTTCATTTGAGCTTGGCCATGCGTGCATCCCGTTTTGTTACAAGGTTTTGGTTTCCCATTAGAAGTAAGGGCCATTTAGGGTTCTGTTCCTTTCCCCAACTGTTTCTGTTCCTTTCAGTTGAATCCTCTGTTTCTGCACAGTCCCTGACAGCGTCTTCTCCTAAATCCACCATTCAGTTTCTTTTTCACTTTCCCAGCTTGCATATTTCTCCTATACCAAACATCATACTTTGTTTTCCTCCTTTCCACATTGTGCCCACAGCAAATCCTGCAGTCTCTTTTCCTTGTCCTCAAGAGGAAAACGTTAATAACCTTCCCTTAACTTTACTTCCTTTGTTCTGGTGACAAAGCACACACTTTCATTTTCTCCTCAAACACACATTGATATTTGCACTTTTTAAGACAAACTCTGGCATTTTCTGTGCCTTACCAGTATGTGATGTGAAGTTGCTTCCCCTGATGGCTTTGGTTACATGAGGCAGGGATAAGTTCTTGTCATTTGCTGGGAAAAAAACCAGCAGTTACGCGTGGTGCCTCTCAGAGAAAGAGGAGGGAAAGTTCATAACCTCAGGTTGGATGTTAGGAGCAATTTCTTCTCAGGAAGAGCAGCCAAGCATCAGAACGGGCTGCACTAGGAAGAGATGGAGTTGCTGACCCTGAAGGTTTTTGAGAGCTGTGGAGATGTGGCAGTGAGGGCCGTGGTCAGTGGGAATGGTGGGGACGCGTTGTGGCTCAGCTTGGTGATCTCAGAGGTCTTTTCCAGCCTTCACGATTCTATGATTCTCTGATTTGTTATGCCTTTGTCTTCCACAAAGAAGTGCAAAGTCTTTATGACTCATTTATCTTTATCCAGAAAACTTAGCCCCATGCTTGCGTTTTTCCATCTCTCTCCCAAGAACAGCAACAAAAAATGGAATTTCCTTGCTCTGAGGGTAAATCATGGATGCATGAAGTTTCTTTCTCACCTGCTTCATCGACAAACAAATAGTTTATTCCCTTGGAACAAGATATTTCAAATACAGATTCTTTTCGTCTCTCAGAATGGGCTTCTTCTACACTTCTCCTCTATTGAAACACACAAATTCTTCCCTTTTTTGCTCTCTCTGTCAATGTGTCTGTGTACTTTCAATCTCTTTCCCTGACGTGTAGCCTCAGCCTTTTTTCCGTGTTCCTTTTGTACTCCTTCTCCCTGATGTGGTCCTCGTGCTCCCCGACCTTCTCTTTGCTCCTTGAGTAAAGCCACCATTCCACCATGGATTACAGGTGAGCTCCTCTGGGGCCGCGGCGCGGGACGGCCGTCTCAAGGTGGGGATGCGGATCCTGGAGGTGAACCATCAGAGTTTGCTGGGGATGACGCACACAGAAGCAGTGCAGATACTCCGAAGTGTGGGCGATGCTCTGCTGGTGCTGGTGTGTGATGGCTTCGATCCCAAGGCTGCAGCTGCCATTGAGGTGAGAAGGGGGGCGCGAGGAGCCCCGTGGAGACCAAGGAAATAAGGAGCCCACTTATTTCTGCACAGAAGTTTGCTGCATTTTCCAGCCTTTTGCTGTAGATTTTTTTGTCGGTTCGTTGGTTGGGTTTTTTTGAGGTGTCAGATTCCAAAGTTTTCTCTCTTGCTTTATGAACTAGAGGTGATTGCCAGTTCATAAAACAGTAGCTTCGCAAGGCTGATATCTTCTGCTGATTGCAGAGCTGTTTTCACCATATCACTGTGCTGCATAGAAATGTGGGTTTCAAACAAATTTTCTGCAGTGTTCTTTTAGTCATTTTTTCTTGTATTGACGTTATATTTAAAGTAAATTTTCTTTCTATCCGTTGGTGTTCACCTTTCACCCAGGGAAACACCCACGGTAGCCGCATGCCTTCTAAGTTTTATTTTACTGAGGCTTAGAAAGCCTTTATTTATCCTTTGCTAGAACATATACTCAGTCCATGGTAATCTTATGCCCTTTCTGTACCTGTTTTAATTGAAACTCCTCTTCCCTAGCCCTCAGTTTCTTTTTGTAATTGACAGTTGCAACAAGGTTTTGAGTTGTGAAGCAGTTCTGTCTTGTCCAGGAGCATCTTGGTGCTCTATATCTGGTAGCCCAGGGTGTGGAATCTTGTATGGTATACTATGGGCTTCTGCCATGTTTTATTGTGGTTTTGCTTCGTAGATGTCTCCAGGAATTATTGCAAACCCTTTTGCTGCTGGCATTGGACGCAAGAATAGCCTGGAAAGTATCTCATCTATTGACCGGGATCTCAGCCCTGAGGAACTGGAGGTGCTGCAGAAGGTGGGTGTTCTGGCTTTGGCTGGGAGAGTGGTGAGGAATGGAATACTTGTTAAATCTCAAGTATTTCCCTTGGTGTGTGGGACCTGCAGCATAACAAGTAGCGGACTTCATGTTTGTGGGATCAGCAGCTCCCAGCACATGGACCAGCACGAGGCTGAGACGTGGTCTGGCTTCTTCCCGAGGTTGCCATCCTCCACGCAGGGAGAGAGCACGGGGTGAAGTGGCTCTAACTTTGGTCTCTCCTAGGAGATGGAAATGGTGAGAGAAGCGACTCAGTGGGAGAGAGAAGAAATGGAGAAAGTGGTGAGAGATGTTTCGTGTGGTGGAGTTTGTTCTTGACAGCAGTTCTGCCCAGGCTGCAGGCCCTGAGGAAAATGGCGCAGATCGCCTCTACTCGACTGTGATCTCTGTGGGGGCTGTGGGCCTCGTCTCTCCATAGTGCACCTCTCAGTTACTGTAGTTGCTTTTTGGCTTTGGCGTACCTTCCTGTGTGCCTCTTTGGTGGTACTTACCTGTTATGTGTGCAGTTTGTTACTGCTGGGACTTTGCTTAAAGCTGCAACTTTGAGGAAAATGGCCCATTGGCTTGGGAGCCCCACGTTTCATCACTTCTCTCCATGATCTGACAGCTTTCATGAGCAGAGATGAGAACACACAGCTCAAAGGTTGAGGAATCAGCCCCGTTCATCAGTCAGGAGTTTGTGCTCCTCAGTTTCCATGGCTGTTGTTCTGGCTGGGCACGAGTACTTTGTCCCTGAGGGGATTGGATTTTCCCGTTCTCTCTGTTAAAACTGCAATTTATTCAGTCAGATCCTGTTGGAAAATGAGGGAAAAATTGAATTCTTTAGCATTGTGCGTTGTCAATCTGCTCTCCTGGCAAATAAGTTTGTGTACATTTTGCATTTCTTCAGGTTTCCAGTTTAGATCTATTTATCTTGCTGGGTTCTCTCTGTTGTTCAGTCCCTGAGCTGAACGAGTTTTCAGGAACCACCGTTGCACTCTGCATACGTCTTCCAAGTTTGGTTCTTTGATCATTCAGATTCTAGGAGCAATATCAGTGACTCCAAATCTCCATGGGCCGATCCTTGGCACGTTTCTCTGTCTCAGCTCTGCTGCCAGTTGTTTCTGTAACCTTACCGCAGAGCTTTGGCTCAGATGTTGCAGGGATGGACTTCTGGTGTTGCCCAGCTCCATCAGCACTGCCTGGGGCTCCTGTTACTTTTCACTTTATGACCTCCAGTTTTGCAGATGATACTTATCCAAAGCATACATACCCAGCACCAACATACACTTCAGCTTAAATATCCCTGAATATCCCTTTGGGTCCGGCAGTTTTCTGGAGCGCTGGCGTCTTCTCATGTGGCTCATCACTGTCTGGAGATTGGGAGTGTGATATTGGGCACTGGTGGTAATGCACAGGATGGCCGGGTGCTGATCAGAACTCTCTGCTCTGTCTGTTCCTCAGCTGCGTCCCATCCATCAGCCTTGTGCCCTCAGGACCCTCTGGGGGCTGCTGATGGAGAGAAGCAGTCAGAAGGGCTGAAATGTGCCATAGAGCAGAGCAATTATGCTCCTTTTGTCCACAGCCCCCACTCTGCTGCAGAGGCTGTGGGCAAAAAGTCACAGAATATAAATGAACAGATGTAATTCCTCTTGAAATCAAGCAGTGGGTGTTATTTCTTTCCTTCTGCAGCTCTGAAGCTGCAGTGAGTTTGGTTACTGGCCACTTTCATGACACTCTGTGCTCAGCCACTGGCTTTAAGCCCTCTGTACAATTGCCATCTCTGTAGCTTTGTGGCTGTGATGCTACTAACAAGCATGTGATTTTTTAGGACTTCTTCCTCGACGACCACCAGCTCATGCTCTGTAGATTTGTTTCTCTGTGCCCTTGCAGCTTCCCCACTCTGTGCTCTGCCAGGATCCCTCTTGTAGCTATAAGCAGCCTGTTCCCATCCCTCAGTGACGCTGCATAGGGTTCAGCTCCACTTCCTCTCCCTAGCAGTTGCCCTGCTGAGGATCTCAGAGCCACCTGCCCTCTTCCCTCCCCTGATGACCCCCTGTCTTTACTTGTATGGGATGGCTGTTGCCATCACTTTGCTGGCAGTGCCCAGCAGAATGCCAGCTTCTCCTTCCCTGGGCCAAGCTCACGTGCTGATTTCTGCTCACCTCATCCTGACACCAGCCCCCTCCATACCCCTCTGTTCTCCCTCTGGAATGATTGCCCAGCATGCAGCTGACCTCTTTCCCTCTCTCTTTGCCTGCACTGCTTGGATGCTGGTCTGGCTCTGTCCTGTGGCATGGAAGGAGTGGATGCGTAGGGAGCGGGAGGCGGCCACGCGGCAGCTTGAGGAGGCGGCAGAGGTGAGGAGCGTGGTGGGAGGGATGGAGAGTTGGAGAGCAGAGGCAGAGCTCAGCCTAAGGGCTGGAGGAGCCCCCGAAAAGTAGAAGCACTCACTGCCCTCTGCATGTGTTCTCCTCACACCCCTGTACCCTGCAAAAAGCACAGCTTCAGCGTATGAGGAGATAGCAGAAATTGGGAACTCTTTAACGTGGTTGAGGAAGAGCTAGCGAAAAACAATGACTAAAATGTGAAAGCAAATTAAAATAGGAAGTGATATCAGGCACAATTATGCAAACAGTGTGAGTTAATACTGAAAATAGATATCACAGAGGAATTGCAGATTGACTTTGTTAAACGGAGAATCATGGAACATGCCGAGTTGGAAGGCACCCGTAAGGGTCATTGAGTCCAACTCCTGTATCGCCAGCTCCAGACTGTAAAATCTTTCTGGATTTGGTGAAAACTGGTTACATATATTCAGTATTCTTTTCTCTTTCTGTGAGAGAGTGGATGTGTGCACTGCACAGGAGAAATGGTGAGGACCAGCATCCCAGTGTGGCTGTTCCCTGCAGTATTGCTGTCACTTTTCCCTGTGGCTGCGTTTGGAGCAGTTGCAGGTTCACATCCCAGCAGTGGGATCTTCCTGCAGCGTTTGGAGACAAAGCTTTGGCTGTGACTAAGGGTGGTTTCCTTTGAATTGCTCTCTGCGATTGATGTAGCTGAATTCTGGCCTGATCTCTTCCTGGTGTTTCTGTTTTGTTTTTTGCTTCCCCCCTTCCCCCTCTCCAGAATGTCACGAGTGAACCTTTGCGAATGGACTATCGGACCCTGGCTGCTTTGCCCAGCAGTGGCTCACAGAGAGTCAATCGCACTGTAAGTGATGGGTGCTGAGTGCACATCCCTGCTCCCTTTCCTGCCCTCTCCTCTGCCTAAATGTGATGGTAGCGGTGCTCTGCAGAACTGCAGTGGGCTTCAGGTATCTGAAACAGGAGGAGCTGCAGCGGAAAGATTTAGGAGAAAATGGTGAGAGCAGAAAGCCAAGTTGCTTCCCATTGTGGAAAGGGAAGTGGCTTCTGTGGTTGCTTTGGTGCAGGAGATGATGTGAACAAGGCAGAAAGAAAGCCCAGCAGGAGGGAAGAATACACGTGAACGGAGTGTGGGGGCTTTGGTGGGGAAATAAGCAAGTACTGAAAGCTGCAGAAGCAGGAGGGGAAGATGATGCCAGGCACAGAAGGCACCAATGCTGTGTGCAGAGAAAGCAAGGAGTGCAGAGAAAGCAAGGTTAGGATCCATCTAGGACTGCAAAAGGGGAAGCAGAAGTGATTGCATATCCCACCTAGCAGAGATAACAGTAGAGCCTTTGGCACTGCTGCTGCCCCTCTGCCCTCCTGTGTTGCCATCTCTGATACATGGTGGAAACTCAGCAAAGAGAAAATCCAGATTCCACAAATGTCACAGATTACAGAGCTATCCGTCTTTCCTGGGTTGTTTAAAGTGTCACATCTCCATCTCTGTTTTCTTTGTCCCCCCTGCATCACGCCTGTTCTGCTGAGTTGCTGCCTGCTCCCTTAGAGCTTCGCATCCTCAGGCTTATCCCCAGTTCCCTTCCTGCTGTTACAGGAGGGACCAACCCTTTGCTGATGTTGAGACAGAATATCTCTTTGTTCTCCCATTGTTTCAGATCATCTCTTCTACCCATCTCCGTTTCATTCCATTGAGACAGCTCTTCTCTCATATTTGTGTATCATCTCATGACTGTCACCAGTTCTGTCTTATTTTGTTCCTCCCCATCCTCCCAAGCTTTGCCTTTTCTTTCCTGGCTGTCCACAAAAAATTGTTTCATCAGAAGAACATCTGAAGTATTTCCAGCATCTCTTCATTTAACTGAGAAGCTGGAAGCGAGGGGAGAGCCAACCCCATGCAAGCAGCTGTTCCTTTGTGAGCAGCCCAAGAGCTGAGCAGCATTTGGGAGCCTATGGCTGAGCCTGGGAGCGCCTGGCTCTGGAATGTGCAGCAGAGCACTGGAATGCTGCGTGTGGGGCAGCATCTATAAATGTCCCATCTCAGGGGAAGGACCAATTAGTGCACATTTATCTTCTCCCAACTGTCTTTTGCTCAGCCCTACCTTTACTCTGCTTGAAAAAATCCCACCTGCTTTGATTGTGAGATACGAGCTCCCAATGACAGCAAGGTTCTGGCTGCAGCCATCCCATGTGGTGACAGCCTGGAAGATTCAAGCAGTCCAACCAGCAGAAAAGCATGCAGCTCATAGGGCTGGAGCACCTTTCCAGAGAAGAGAGGCTGAGCGTCGGGATTCTCTTATAGCAGCCTTTCAGTACCCAAAAGGGCCTACAAGAAGTTGGAGAGGCATTTTGTACGTGGGTGTGCAGTGATAGGGCAAGGGATAATAAAAGAAGGCAGGTTTAGATTGGATATAAGGACAGATATCTTCACAGTGGAAGTGATGAGGCCCTGGCACAGACTGACCAGAGAAGTGTGAGTGGCCTACATCTGGGGGTGCCCTGGGCAGGCTGGTCTGGTGCACGAGGGTTGGAAGTAGATGATCTTTAAGGACCCCTCCAACCCAAACCATTCTTGACTCAATCAG